CCTCCTCCCTCTGCCCCATCTCTGCCCACTCTGAATGGAAGGCGTTGAGGGCCGTCCCCACTGGAGTCCAGCCCCTACAATGAGGCTGCTGCCGAGAGAAGGGGCCTGGACGAGTCGTTCTTGTGGGGAAGGGACGGGGTGTTTGTGTTTCCTGAGGGGAGCTCTGTGCCCTTCGGTGTCCTCCAGTTTCAATGGAGCAAAACCAACTCAAACTGCTCTGGGATCACCCCTGTGCCTAGGCCCTGGGGCTGGGCCCTGCCTCCACACCTGTCACCTGGCCTGTCTTCCCCTGGGCCTGCGATGGGGGAGAGGGAGGAGGGAGAGCACTGTGCACCTGTGTCCACCGCGGCATCGCTGTGACCGAAGAGCTCATCAGAAAAGAAGTGTCCTCTGAAGATCTCTGCAGCCAGGCTGGGTTCAGACCCATGACAGAGACTGTCCCCGCCCTACAGATAATCCCTCACATGTGAAGATAGTCCTTGCTCAGGGCAGCCGTTTCTACAACATAAGACACTTGTGCTGAGGCAAATAAGTGGTTACCTGTCAGCATGGGAAAGCTGTGGAAGCTGAGGTGTAGGGAAGCTAAGCAGAGTAGTTTACCCGGGAGGGCCACCCCACTGGGCTGAGGCAGGACCCTGGTGACCGCCCAGGGACCTTGACTACAGTGCTGGTTTCTTTCAGCCGTCGGAAAGCCCCGAAGTCCAGTCACAAAATTTGCCATATCCAAGTCCCCTCTACCATGATTCATTTGTCTTGTTCTTGCAGTCCACCCCCAATATTTACCTAGTTATGTGTCCTTTACAAAGAAATTTTATATCACTATCATACATGGAAAATCACTAGCATTTGCCATAATCAATTAACCTAATTCATCATATGAAAATGTTAAAAAAGATCTCAAATGACTGTAGGTGTCTGGAGGGACACATACCATATTCAGGAAAATGCTACAGCAGAGCATGTCACTTTCTGCTACAGCTGGTTTCCTTCCTCTACCCCTCACCTCGTTCCCTCCCCCCCACCTCATCGACTCCCTTTCTCTCGCTCCCTCCTTCCCTTCCAGTAACTCATTCAGCTCATATTGAACTGCTACACACTGAGTGCCCCCAACGGGCTGGCTGTTGTGCCAGATGCTGAGTGCGTGCTGGTGAATGTAACGGCCACTGGCCCCCCGGCAGGGCTTACAGTCGAGCGGGAGAAGGTGGGCAATGAATAGAAAATAATCCACACGTGGTCACAGTTGGGATAAGATCGGGGAAGGAAGCAAAGAGAGTATGTTTATCCCTTGTTCATTTATTCAACATGTACTTATTGAGCATCTAGTATGCGGCAGGCCCTATGCCAGGTGCTGGCTAAGAAGAGAACAGCATCCAAGGCAGCCGGGACACCAGCCCCGCAGGGCTGGTCACTCCCAGGCTCTGAACACCAGCCTGACGCACCTTCCTGCGAGCCTCCTGCCAGCACCCCAGCTGAGCCCTTTCATCTAGATGACCCAGAGCAGTGTCCGTGTCTGGAGATATTTTTAGTTGTCACAACTTGGAGCAAGGCTTGTTACTGGCACTAGTGGGCAGAGGCCAGGAATGCTGCTGAGCATCCTACAATACACAGGACGGCCCCTGTGACAAAGAAGCATCCGGTCCAAAATGTCATTAGCACAGAGGTTGAGAAACTTTGACCTGCGGACGTTCAGAAGCTAGAGGCCGTGCCTGTGTGGCCATTGGTGAGGGCGAAGCCTCTGAGAGAGGCTTGTGAGAGGGGCCTCTGGCTCAGGGGCAGCTTCCTGGGGCGTTAGAACCTGCCTGCTTATCCCTAGCCCTGGCCTGTCCCCTCCCAGAATGGGAGGACGGGAAGCGCTGAGGAAGTAAGGAACAGTCTTCCCCTCCCTCGGCCTTGGAACATTTCACTTCCTCACATTGTGGCCTGATCTAGGGCCAGGCCGGGTTTTCCATGACTGGCCGCTGAGCTGTGCCTGAGGGCTGGGGCCCCTGGAGGAGGGCAGACCTCTAGAGAAGGCCACTCGCCCCAGCTCTGCAGTGCACAGCCGGGCAGCCGTGAGTGCCAGTCCTGCAGCTTGCCACCCTCCCCGCGCGCCCTGAGGCCCGGCCTTCAGTCCCCCCTCCAGTCATTGCAGTGTAGTTAGGGCACCAGAGGAGCTGGGCACTGAGCCAGGCGCTGGGAGCATAGAGCTGATTCCTATATCGTAGAGCTTGCCAAGGGAAGGAGATGTTTAGGCAAATTATAATTTAAATAAACAAGAAACGTGGGGTCCCAGGTCTCCGCAGGGGCGGGGGGAGCTGGGGAAGCTTCGCAGAGGTGGCAGCATTTGTGTTGGTTCTTAGAGTATGCACAGGCGCCGAAGAAGGGAATCTGACCGGGGAAAGTATGCTAAAGGCCAGCAGGAGAGAGTAGGTTCAGACCAAGAAGTTTCTGGGTGCTGAAGTAAGGGTGTGGACTTTATCCTGCAGGTGGAAAGAAGCCACCGATGTGTCTGAGCAAGGGTGACCTCTGCTGACTTTGCTTAGAAAGATGAAGTGTGTCGGTGCCATTCCTAACTCACATCTGCCCACCACCCCTCTCCTCTCTTATCCGTTTCTCTGGCCCCTCCAGAAGCCTTCGGTCTGTGCCCATGTGCTTTGGTTTCAGGGGCACCAGGCAAGAGGTAGGAGGAGGCTCTCCCCGTCTTTCTTGTCGATGAAGCCTGAAGTTCTACCATTATAAATTTATTCCTTTGGCTTATAGTTTGTCCTCTTAAGTTCCTTTGTTTAAATACAGACTCAGCCTTCACCCTGTGAAATGTAACACTTTTTCTCTACCACATGCACCCACCTACCCTTACCTTTATTTGGGGTGGCTCTCAGGAATTTTTCTACCTACTAGCACTGATTTTTTTAAGATTATTTTGTTATATATCTTTTCAATTAAATTAACATTTGCCATCGCAGCTGACTCATTTAATAGGACTAAGTTCTCCTGGGTGTGAGGGGTTATAAGACCAGCCAAAAAATGTAAAACCCCTCAGTGTGCTCACGCGCACACACACACACACACACTCACACACACGCTGTGTTTAGAATGGTGGTTGGCACATAGTAGTTCTGCATGAGTTCACAAGTACCCACAAGGGTGAAGACGCTAAAAGTGCAGAAAACAGGCTGGGGAGGTGGCACTGAGGGTGTTGCCTTGGCTGACCCCTGCCTCTGCTTGCTGGGCCTTTGTCACTAACTCTCTGTCCTCGCTCCCTCAGTTCATGACCAAGAACCCCCACAAGCGCCTGGGCTGTGTGGCGGCCCAGAACGGCGAGGACGCCATCAAGCAGCACCCGTTCTTCAAGGAGATCGACTGGGTGCTCCTGGAGCAGAAGAAGATAAAGCCGCCCTTCAAGCCTCGGATTGTAAGTGGCCTGCAGCTGCTCCCGCACCCGGGGCTGGGCTTGGGCCCCACGCGTGGGAAGGCGGGCTGGGGCGCGTGCTACAGCCAAAATGACAAGGGCCGAGGGGGCCAGGACGCTCCCTAAGAGAACCTCTGCAGCCCTCGGAGTTCACTGCAGAAAACGTGTAACCTGCAGCCCTAGCCAAGGCGACGGCTTACATGGGACGCCAAACACATTGTTTGCTTTAATAGAGATTTGCTTATTTATTTTGATTAAAAGTTATAGATGGTACTAGTTGTCCATGTATGGTAGTGATACAAGGTTTCTTTATAAGTAAACAAGTTTGTTTTCTAAATGAGTCCACTTAAAGAAAAATATTAACTAAATAATAGCCATAGTCATGTGGAACTAACACAGAGCGTGAAGTTGTGACTCAGTGACTGACATGTGAGGACTGTCCCCTGGGAGCCCCTGGGGGGGGCAGCTCTGTAAGAGGCCAGGTCCTTAGGCCATATCAGAGATCTCCTGTCCCCTGTCTGTCCTGCTGTCCCTCTGACTTCACTCCAGCCTCAGCACACCCTTCCTTCCAGGCTCCTAGGCCTTTTAGGGGATGCCAGTGGAGAGGGTACAGTAAAGGGTGTTTGAAGCTCAGACGCTGGAAAGCAAAACAGAACTGAGGCTGGGCTTGACTCAGAGCAAAGACCATGTCCTGGCAGTGACCTTCTGCTGGGAGGGAACAGGGTGGTGCTGCTCCCCTTAAAGGCAGCAAGAACGG